GAGAGCGTTACGTCGTTTGCGGTGAAGCGTGACATTTTCAAATCTTTCTTCCCTGATAGCGAAGATTTGGAGACAACAGGGACATTTCCAACGGCTGCTTAGAGTGGGAACGATGCAATAAACGTATATATACCGCTAACATATTTGACTCAGAACAAAGACACTCCGATGCCTAATACGACATCTTAACTAAATATTTCTAGGGGGGGGTAATCAGAATAGCCTCAATGTTACCCATATACCGGACCATCAAGACGTCGCGATGCGTGATACGGGTTCCGATAAGGCAATTCAGCCAATCGGCAATAGTGTTGTTCTCGGTTCCTCGCAACTGACCGCTAACAATCAGCCAGCCGTCGTTCCATCTCTGGGAGAGACAGCCAACGACTAAGTTGGTACCACTGCGCTGTCGATAACCTCGCAGTCACGTGCTGCTTGTAAATGCGTCACCTCAATGACGCCGGACTTGTTCTGGGCGTCTTGTAAGACGTACTTGTTAAGCCTTCCTTACGTGATATTATTCAGCGTCTCTCGACATGAGGTTCTATTTCTGGGACTATCTAATGCATATTTAATTTTTGAACTCGCCCCAGAGATTAACGAAGGGTGGTGTGCCAAAGTCGAAGAGCTGCCTAGGTAGTTTCTAACGCTTAGAACTATCGCTAAAGCTGAAATTCAGCCTTAGGCAATTAAAAGTGGCCTCCTCTTCTACGGAGATATAGGTGACTTTAGATCTACATTGAAGTCGTTTGCTGCGACGGCATCTATCACACTACCTTCGTTTGATACTGGCGATGGAATCTGGAAGACTCAAAGAATGATTGAAGGTTGAAATAATGATCTGAACTAAGCTGGCCATCATGTTGTACTATCGCACCGTCGCCGAAACAAGTAGGTTTTTGAATCCACCTGCTAATAACACCGTTCTACATTCTCTGTATTAACCAAGATTGTAATTAGTCGCGAGCAGAATCAACGTGGCCTTTCGTCATGAGAAGTGTTCGCGTAGCTTCGCTCTGTGGGTCGGCTTTTCATATATATAAGCCTAGAATTCGGGGCAAACAGGTATTCACCCTTACCAGTCTGTGAGCCATAAATCCTGTGAATATACTATAAGAGTTCGTCTAACGCTCTTTCGAGCTCGAGTGCAGTCTCGACGTTGGTCCTCGCGTTCCTATTGTAAAAGGCAAATCTCCTTGTCCAGCTGCACAATGAGATTGTGGGACCGATCGATAGAGGCCACTAGAGTGGCTCCTTCCCGATTCCACCGTTCTAGGCGATCAATCTCAGCGCTTCGCCGCCGGAACTTGGTTTCAATCTTCTCACAAAGCCGGCACTTGCTGTTCTCGTTCTCTGCTATATTAACGAGCTTTATCCCGCACGTTTCGCCTGTGCGGTATTCGTAATTGTACCGGTGGGTGAAGCTGCTCCAGCTCTAGTCTCCACAGGAGAAACGCTTCTAGTTGTAAAAGCATATGCCTATTAGATGCGTTAGTGCCACTCGCTTCGGAGGTCCCGTCAAATTCACTTACTCCCGGACCCGGTGAATCTGTTTGAGGTCTCAAAGAGAGATACACGATTGGCTTTGACTTCTTGCTGAAGCTCACTTGACCAGCTCAAAAATGCCTACCCTTAGTGGACGTTGTGAAAGGCTTTTCGAAAGTGTTACCTGACTTTGAACTTTATGGCTTATCTGGAGGACACGAAAGGCCCTATTTATGTTTCGTCGACATTTCCATCCCGTTGTCTCTGAAAGTCGTTCTGCGAAACATGGAGTTTTATAGCCTTGTATGCCTTGGCGCGTGCATCATGAGTCTATGCTGCATATGAGTGATAATTCCTAGCTATCTAAGTGTGATGAAATTCTTGATAGGCTGAATCAGAACGCTTCCCTACTCCACTTTGAAGCGAGAATGAGCTAACGAGATCAGCGAATGAATTTGCTGGCTGCTCCAGCAAGCCTGAAGTGATAGACACGGATACTTTTTTTCCGACCGTAAGTATCTCTTTTTGCGGAATATCTATTCGCCAGATGATGAACCGTGTGAGAACGTTACGTCTTTTGTGGTGAAGCGGGATATTTTCAAATTATTCTTCCCAGAAAGTGATATAGAGACGACAGGGACATTTCCGATGGCATTCCTAAGTGGTAACGATGTAACAAACATACAAATAACACAGATTTGACTCGGCACTAAGATACTCCGATACCCGATCTAACATGTTAGCCAGATAGTTCCGGTTTGGGAACAATGATGAGAATACCCTCAGGATACCTATATACCGGAGCACAAGATGTCGCGATGCGTGATATTGGTTCTGATAAGACAATTCAGTCCATTTTCCTGAAAACCAATCATAGATAATAAAATTGACCGTCGTCAAAATATATAGGTTATTGAATCCACCTGCCAGTACCGCAATTATAAACCCTCTGTACTAACCAAGACTGCATGAGGTCGCGAGCAGAATCGATATGGCCCTTCGCCATGAAAAGTGTTCGCGCAGCCTGGCTCTGAGGGTTGCCTTTTCACACGTATGAGCATAGAATTCGGAGCAAAACAGGTATTCACCCTTACTAGTCTGTATATCGAGCCATTCGACCATGTGTATATACCACAAGAGTTCGTCTGACGCTCTTTCGAGCTCGAGTTCGGCCTCGATAAGGCGCGGCCACTCAACAGTGGCAATCGTTCCATCCCGAAAACCTCTAATGACTGAAGACATGCCACAACACCTGATAACCGAATTTTGGGTTACAAGGTCTCGAAGTTCGTTCTCGACAGGACTTAGCTTGTGAGAATGGGCTGTTGATAGACATATCGAACTTAGAAGGTAAATGTGGAAACCCAGTGCAAGCATTTTCACTTCTTTTCGCGGTCTGAAGAGTCTTGAGAACCTGAAAGGCATTCACTGCAGAAATGGGACATTGTAGTAACAGCCCAGAAACTCAGCCTTGGCGCGTGCATCATGAGTCTTTGTTGCATGTGGGTCACATTCGATGATTACTTATTGAGTGGTTTTTAAACCTCCTAGAAAACAAGACAAGGGCCTACTTGATGAAGGCTCGATAAGCACGACAATGGCATTTTAGCTTGTGCATAACGCGTGCCACCAGGTATTCATTTTCAGAGATCTGTATTTGATGTGGAGTCAAGGAGTTATATCTAGTGGTAAGATATCGTTGAATGTGATAATTCATCGCGGCGCTATCTAAGCGGGATGAAAACTCTTGATAGGTTGAATCTGCACATTTCCCACGCGCAGGAATGAGCCACCGAAATCAGCGAATTAGCTTAACTAACTTAGTTAACTAACTAAACGGATCACTGGAGTCACTGCGACACATTTGTGCAACATCCTTTTGATTCTGTTTGTGATATAGCTCATGAATCATCTGAGCGCCGCGCCCCTCTTGAGCCGTATGTCCCCTTTTGAGAATCCCCACCAGGCGGACGGGATGGCAATGATCGCGTTTAACCCTCTAGTCTTTCCTGTGCCGGGAGTATTGACTGTCGGGTGGCGGATCGCTTCTGGTTAATCCTGCGGGAGCCTCTGTATGTAAATGTTACGGCGAGGAAGTATGTCGGAAGACAGTCACATACTGTCTGTAGAGTACCTGTAGAGTACCGAGAGCTTGAGACTGTTATACAGTCGTTCTCGAAATCGGCTTGACCGGTACACTCTTCGACTATCTTTCTCGGCCCCGCTGCCAAGGCTCTAGCGCAGAATATTTATTGGGCTGGACTCATTAAGCTGAGGGCCACACGGTTCAGATGTCACCGTTTAAGCTCGGGAAAGTCACGACGGGCCGCAACTTAATGAAGTGGGCTCAATTAATAATGAATGCTAAGGTCTTGGCGGTGGGGCCGCGAAAGAGTTTCTCAGTGTGTATCGGTTAAGCCGATTTCGAGAATGACTATACAAAAATCTCTGATTAGGGAAGAGTTTCCTGGAATCCTTTTTAATTTGGAGGCTCCGCCGGACTGATTATCCGGCATGGTTGGAGACTCCAGCAGGATTGGAGACTCCAGCAGGATTGGAGACTCCAGCAGGATTGGAGACTCCAGCAGGATTGGAGACTCCAGCAGGATTGGAGACTCCAGCAGGATTGGAGACTCCAGCAGGATTGGAGACTCCAGCAGGATTGGAGACTCCAGCAGGATTGGAGACTCCGGCAAGAGTGAAGACTCCGGCAAGAGTGAAGACTCCGGCAAGAGTGAAGAATGATACTAAGGAAGCTCCTGATTGGTCCGTCACTGTTATCCCTTTCTCCACATTGGAGTGGTAACTTCATGCCAGGTACGAGAAAGAATACACGGGTTGGGTGCATCAAACAGCTGTGATAAATAAAATAATGATGGCCAATGTATTTTCGAAACCCGCTGTCTCAGGTGACTAGGTTCGACTACGAGGAAACAGATTCGACCACGCCCGGTCGTTCATGGGGACCATTTTAAGCAGACATGGGTACTGTGTAGCTCGTAACAAGAGGCTAGTAGAGATATGACGAATCCCAGGATAGTCAATCCTGTGATTGAATTCATCCTAGGATGGTCAATTTCAGGCAAGGAACGTGCGCCAGGGTAGAGGATTCCAGGATGGGGAGTCATAGGATTGCAAATCTCGGAATTTATTCTGTTCCAGAACAATCTCCTGAGCTTCCCGTATCGACCAATTCTTGTAGCTTGTATGCACTTTTACTTGCGGTTATTGGCTGTTATTGGCTGTTATTGGTTACTAGTACTTCCTACTGTACGACCAGATCCAGGTACTGGATGATAGATCCATGGACATAGAAGATATTTAGAGTATATTTCACGAACAACACATCTATTTAGTATAAGCGTAATAACCACTGGCATTTCCGGACAGGCTCGCCAATTTCGCTGTCTACTGCTTTCTCTACTATCCCCTCCACTATCCTGGTTTGGCCCATCATTTGCAGTATCTGACACTATAATCTAGGACCGCAGAGACAGGTGACCCGTTACGGCCAAACTAAAGATGCTCGTAATCTCTCTTGACTGCGCGAGGTCACCAATAAAAGGGTCCATAATCTTGAAAGTATGCCTGAGTATTCGCAGTGCCATTTCAGACAGCCACAAATGCTCCGAAAAGGACGAAAAGCCCCAGAAAAATGAGTATATAGTGCCCGGCGTAGCCAAAGCGAGATAATCGATGCGAGAAATGTGCTTGCTGGACTTCTGGCTGAGTCAAGATGGCATAGGCTCCTCGCGGACCAGACTTCATGTTAGGTCTCGAAGAATGCGTCGGCCAAGAAACGGGCCACGCGGTACAGGATAGAGGAATCCAGTTGGATGATATAAGCAGGTAGCATATATGTAGTACTGGCGGCCATAAAAGTCCTGTCGCAACGAATCGCAGAGACTGTTCGTAGTTATCCATCGCATATCTGATTGCGTGCAGTACTGCAGTGATGATGAAAACAAAGGATGTAAGGTTAATTGCGACCCCTGCATCCCAGAGGTTTCGTTTCAGCTCATGGAGTCGTCTGCCAGAGATTGAAGTAGTATTCCAGGGGTTCAACGCGCTACCTGTCACCAATGATCCTGGGGACTGGGCTGGAAGGAGGTAGAAGCATATGAGTGCATATAATTGGCCTATATAGCGAGTGAGTATGCAAGCAGAGAGTAGGAAATACTTTCAAGAACTTACCAGGCGCCATCCAGAGCTCTTCAAGGTGAGAAAATGCCGGAGCACGAAAATCCGAGCGTGCCATCATTAGCCATTCGAAACCCCACATGAAAGTAAGAGACATGACTGCCAGGCATCCTTGAATCTTCAGCTCTAGTCGCGATGCAGCAGGAACCAGCGGCTGATCGGATAGCAACGCTAGAGGAATCATGATAAAGGCGAGAGCGCGATTCACCAAGTCTATTATGAAGAATATTCCCTGACAGGCAATGGACCAGCGGAGTGCGGACGGCACAGTATTCTCCTTAGTCCTTTTTAAAGCCATCACTTGCTGCGAGAGGGAAATACACCAACGTCTCCGTTGCGATACGTGACCTTGTAGCGACGCTGGGACTCGACCTAGCTGCAATATATCATCGAGGACAATAAGCTGGCTACCAGTTCCTATGAGGACGAGGGAGAGCATGAGATCTTCTGCCATTGAGATGGTGGGGAACCCTTGGTGCTCCAGTAGCAAATCACGACGGATTACGCACCCCGAGCCACCATTAATGGCCACCCCAAGCTGATTCAATTGTGGAAGAAGCATACCCTGCCAATTTCCCAGACCCTGAGCCAGCGGGTCACCAGCTGGAATATTGTAAAAATATTGAGGGGTGCCCACTAGTGCTAGCTTAGGGAACTTCATTAAATGAGGCAGCGTGGAACGAAGAAAGTTGGGCGAAGGCATGAAATCTGCATCTAAGATAGCGATATATTCCGACGGGCCTTCCGTGGGGGCCTCCAGGTCAAAGAGTGCGAAATTAAGATTCCCGGCTTTTGCAAAATCTTGTCGGTCTGGACTAAGGCCACGAGATTGGTAATGGATATTGCCCCAGGTCTGTTGAAGCTCTCCCACCGCCTTGCGAAGGGGCATCGATTGTCCATCGTCAAGGACTATAACTCGAAATCGCTTCGAGGGATAATCTATCCGACAGCTTGCGTATAGAGTATCGAGAATAAACTCCAAGGGCTCTCCGCAACAAGGAACTAGAATATCCACACGCGGCAGATTCTCACCGCCAACCAATTGCAAGCGTGTCCGATGCTGAGCCAAATTAGGATCTCCTTTACTTTGGGCGGTAATCACCAGAGACTGAGTGTGGATGGCCTGATCTGCGGTGAAATTATTGGTATTAATTTAAAGTTTTCTCCAAGGCCGTGGGACTCTCATACAGAAGATCGCACACTCCAGATACAAAATGGCCCACATCCAGAAGCTGCCATTCTGTGCAGTCACAAGGAACACGAAGCGTGTGAGGGTGTATAAAAGAAAAGATACACGAGCAGCGCGGGCAATAATTGAACTCCGTCTATCTATGCCCCGTATCCGCGCAGAATTCTGTTGTTCATGATGGCTTTTGGGCAGTTGTTGGATATGGTGTTGTTTTGGTTGGCGAGGCATGGCATTTGAGTAAAGCAGGCAAAATCAGGACTGATTCCCAGATAAAAAAATCTGAATACTCAAAGAAATCAGGAAGCCGGCATATCTTTTGTTGATAAATACACTGCTGATCTGACTAGGTATCAAGGCACGTACCTAGGTATCATCTTGCGCTTTGATGTATCGATGTCCTGCATACTGAGAGTGGGTATCGTCCCGGCTATGGGCTCGATCACGCATCATGTACACTAGTGTATGCTCATACACCGCAAGTCCAGGGTCAAAGTTCGTACATCGCTGATTTATCAAGGCGCGCATCATCTGGCGTTCTGATGTATCAACGTCCTGCACAATGAGAGTGGGTATCGTCCCAGCTACGGGCTTGATCGCGCATCATGTACACTAGTGTATGCTCATACACCGCAAGTCCAGGGTCAAAGTTCGTACATCGCTGATTTATCAAGGCGCGCATCATCTGGCGTTCTGATGTATCAACGTCCTGCACAATGAGAGTGGGTATCGTCCCAGCTACGGGCTTGATCGCGCATCATGTACACTAGTGTATGCTCATACACCGCAAGTCCAGGGTCAAAGTTCGTACATCGCTGATTTATCAAGGCGCGCATCATCTGGCGTTCTGATGTATCAACGTCCTGCACAATGAGAGTGGGTATCGTCCCAGCTACGGGCTTGATCGCGCATCATGTACACTAGTGTATGCTCATACACCGCAAGTCCAGGGTCAAAGTTCGTACATCGCTGATTTATCAAGGCGCGCATCATCTGGCGTTCTGATGTATCAACGTCCTGCACAATGAGAGTGGGTATCGTCCCAGCTACGGGCTCGATCGCGCATCATGTACACTAGTGTATGCTCATACACCGCAAGTCCAGGGTCAAAGTTCGTACTTCGCGAGTTCAGATATATTGGTTCACCTTTGTCGTCGTTAATTGTAGGCATCACCAACCTACTACAGGAATGGCTTTCTCCGACGTCCGAGACGACCCCATTCCTTTGCTCACAGCTATCACAGCTGCCTTGGTCATTACAGCGTGTGTCCTGCATACGCCAAAGAAGCTTCTCAGCAAATTTTTTCACGTAGAATTACACTCATCGAATGTTATCTTGTGGAATTGGTACTAATAGTCCTTTCCAGATACTTCTTCATTACACCAACCGAGTCCGTAGCGTTGACGGTACCTTCACTCTCGACGGACCCAAGTATGTCTGGCCGTACGGGAACACCAAACAGCAGTTCTACGACGCGCACAAACACTCACAACTCTGGTCGGAGCAATATGGCCAGATTTATCGTATTTGGAGTGGCTTGTCTCCGGAAGTGTATGTTCGGCGCCGTTCTTTTTGAGTGTGAAAAAGCGATGTTAAGGTTAAGAAACTCTTTCAATCTCTAGTGTAATAACGACACCCGCAGATGTTGCCAAGTTCTATAGCGACGCAAGCCATCATATCAGAGTGTTTGGGCAACGCGCTGGTTGGGTATTCCACCAGGTTCTAGGGGAAGGCATTGGCTTCATCGACCATGGCGATTGGCGAAGAGTGCGAAAATGCATGGATCCTCTCATGGCAAACGGAGTGGCTACGAAGCAACTACCTCAGATTAACCAGTCGGCGCAAGAGTTTGTAGACCGCCTGGGCAACGATCAGGTAACTGTGATATGTGCTATCAATGCTGTCATGAACTTTCCCCTGTTAGAGACAAGCCGGGCGCTATTTGGCGACATGAACGAGGTAGAACAAACAGAGTTGCTAGCTATCGGGGAGAAGTATATGAAAATCATCCGCTCATTTTTCGCAGACGGGCCTTTTTGTCGCGGATTTCGCTATTGGCGACCTGCGTCCAAGTTGAGGTCTACTACACGAGAATACCTGCATCGATGGGATACCTTTCACCGCAACCTAGTACACTCGCGTCGGGATCAGCCGGAGTTGCCAATCATGAAGTTGTGGAAGCGAGTCGAGGAGGGAATAATCACTCGAAATGAAGTGAGCTTCGCAAAGTTTTCTTTCTCGCGCCTTGTTCATTTTTCACTACCAGAACTCCCCTAATATAAATCACAGCTTTTGCAATCAATTACAGAATCGACCTACACCAATATCGACATCACAGCTCATGTCATTGTTACCACCTGCGTACTTGTGACTACAGATGAGAATACGCAAAAGGATCTGGAGATTGAGATCAAAAGCCAGAGGCATGATCAAGACCGGTATATTGGTCGAACGGACACCTTACTGCATTTTGTGCTCCTTGAAGCCCTGCGTCTGCAGCCGGCAGTCCGTACGTAATTTCTTTTTCGTTCACCAGTACGATGTATTAATTAACTCATTACTGCAGCCTTCACCCTCTCCGAAGCCGCCAATATTGACAAGGAATTAGGGGGGTTTCGAGTGCCGCAAGGGGTAAGTCTATCGTTATCATATAGAATTGAAGTTTCAATAGCTCCAACATGACAAAACAACGGGTAATTGCTCACCAACGACTGCCATCCAGACAAGCGTCACCACCGATACGTTCGCTATCAATGTCCGTAATCCGTTCTGGGGCCCTGATCGCACTCAGTACCGACCGCTCCGCTTCCAAGGTTTAACTGCTGGTGAAGTAAGTAACATCAACGTACCGCGGGCAATTAGCCAATCAATGCTCATCATGCTGCCACTAGTTAATGCACAACCTGCACACCTTTGGATATGGTTCAAGGAAATGTCTGGGTAAACATTTCGCCGAAAAACAGCTCCGAGCACTGATCATGCACCTGTTCCACCAATATGACGTACGTTGGTGCAATCGTGCTGAAACCACCAGCTCCGAGTTCGACGACGATAGGAGTGCGTCGATCTGTGTGCCAGATGTTAAGCTATCACTCACAAGGCGTCGGTAACCGCCATGCCAGTAATTACCCTTGCAGCGCTGGGGGAGTTGAGATGGGAAAGACGTGTTTTTCTTTCTTCATGCAAGGGACACTCACCATGATACTGTATATCCAATAGTACATGTATTAGTGGTTAGACCCCGGGATAAAGCAAACAAGATTCCAGTCCTACATAGTACTACTGTACACACCCTCGGGTGTACCTGATTCTACTTCTTCCACCAAACTCACCATGTCGACAGAGCCCCCAAGCGACAGCTGGGTCCGCCGACTACGGTCTTCGCCGGCGTTTCTCGTGATAGTAGTTACTATGGCGCTTTTCACTGATTCTTTCTTATACAGTTTTCCCGTTCCCATCCTACCATACATTCTCAGCGAACGTGTCAAGCTCGATCCTTCGATGTACCAGTTGGTGACTTCATACATCCTCGCGCAGAGCGCGGTGGTCCATTTCATTTTCAGTCCTGTAATCGGTTATCTAGTCGATCGCACGCCATCTCACCGACGGGCCATGCTGGTCTCACTCACTCTGTCCCTCGTGGCATCGATTGGGCTGGCCCTTGCCAAAAGCTTGCCCGTGCTCTTTGCCACTCGCTTCTTGCAAAGCCTGGCAACGACTACTGTTTTTGTGACGGGGTTTTCTACCCTTGCAAGTGCGATTTCAGACCAGTATGCCAATCAAGTCAACGGCCTTGTCTCGGCCACCTTGACAGCTGGGACGTCAGGAGGCTGCATGGCGGCTGGGGTTCTATTAGAAATCGCAACATATTGGGGTGCATGGTCAGCCGCATTTGGCCTACTGCTTGTTGATATAATTTTACGGCTGCTCATGCTAGAGAAGTCGAAATGCATCGCAGGTATTTGCTCTATTCCTGCTTCTAATACTGCCACATGAGGCATGCCATTTGACAGACTACTAGATAAACCGTCAACAGACGACGCAAATGCAGAATTGGAGCGCGATCGGCTCTTGCCTACATCTGAACGTACAGAGACAGATATTTGCGATACTCCGCACATGCCACAGCAAGAGGTATCAGCTCTCCACTTCTACTGTCTCTTGTTCCGTGACCGCAGCTTCCTTGCTGGAACTGCCTGCTTCGTGGCATTGGCAATGATAATCTCCACCTTTGATACAACCTTGCCCCTACTCGTTTACCATAGGTTCCATTGGGGAAGCTTGCGTACAGGGATGCTCTTTTTCGGGCTACAGGCTCCCACGTTGATCCTGACGCCCGTGTGTGGCTGGCTGAAGGACCGGATAGGTAGCCGCCTTCCTTGCGGACTAGGGCTGCTAGGAACCGCGATTTTTGCCATCGTGACAGGGCTTGCTGGAGACTCCAGGGTCCCGTGGTTTAGCGAGGGGCCACAGGGAGCCGTTCTTTTTACGATTGGTATCGTCGGTATTGGCTGCTTAACTTGTTTGATTCAAGGAGTCGGCACTGCAGAGGCCATGGGTCAGTAGTCTCACGTTGATCCATTTTTCTGAAGTACTTCACTAATCTCGTCCAGGTGCAATACATCGGATAGAACTCGAGTCTCCCGGTATATTTGGCCCAAACGGTGGTTACGCTCGAGCCGCTGCCCTGTCCGGAATGTGTTTTACTGTCGGGTTGCTCATCGGCCCACTTCTTTCTGGGACATTGATTGAGGGATTTGGATGGCTTGAGATGAACTCAGTACTCGGTAGAATTCTGACGCTTTCTCTCCTACTACTGATACAGATGTGCTAAGGGTTGATGGGAATCTAGGGATCATTTGTGTTCTGACTGCTGCCAATGCATGTCTTAACCTGCGCAACTGAGGAGTGACAACATTCTCTACTGTATAAAAAGGGTACTAGTAATACTGGGCATTGCTATTGTCCCTACCGAGTGAAGTGGGGTATTTCGAGGCGGACTGGCATGGTACATCGAAAGATCGAGAGATCGAAGAGAGAGTGGAGCTCCTAAGATGTTGAACGACCGATATGTACGATATGTACTCTATCCACTAGGGCGTGGGCCCTATCCAATGGCCCTGGTACAAGTGAGCATCACTGCAGGGCGGTAAAACCCCTTACATATGGGCTTTATTTGGACCCTTCACCCTGACTGCAAGCGATTTCTGTCGTACTCTTCACTTGAAAATTTTGACATCTTCTAAGCTGCCCAATCTTCTCCTCTTTCAATCTTCAATTGTTCAGTCTTTTGACTCACTTCTAGCATTTGTATGATCAAACCCTAAATAACTAGGTTGCATAAACTTTTTCTCTTGGGTACGACCAGAAGAATTCGGCGATGGTGTTCACTCTTGACTAAAATGCAGGCAGTACTGTACCTGTGGCTAGGTATACTAGTGTAAGAAGTAAAAAATACCTAGGTACACTAGTGTACATAAATGGAAGAGAGAATGACTTAGTCCGAGCCCGTCAATCCTATAGATACGTAGTAACGGAGAAATCTTGGCTACAGTAGGTATCGGGAATAAGGGCCCATCCACGAGTGTCACTGTGCAGATGAACCGACATATGTAGGTACTGCCAAGGCAGTGCAAATCGAGTAATGGCATACATAGCTGGATTGAGGCCAAAGCGTCACTCGATCGCAATTTATCGAGCAGGAAGCTGCAGGATAGGTGTTCCCACCAGGCACACCGCCGTGGAAGATTCTCAGGCGGGGTCATGATCATGATGCAGGTGGGATCTAATCCACGTCACCGCATAGAGACGTCGAACCCAGAGCATTTTTCAAGGCATACTAGTATATGATTTGATAGGTCATAGTTCACCGCTTGTACTATAACCTATCACCACGCCTCGGAAAACAAATACATACTACACTAGTGTATTACACTGCAGAGTTGGCGAGGTCCACACTACACTAGTGTATGCAAGGGAGGATGAGCACGTATAAGAATCAGCGTCCATAGCTGATCGCTAAGCCACATGCATGATCTATGGAGTGCCAGTGATCGTCATGAAATACAGTACTATCGCATGTATACCGTAGCTATTAATCATAAATGCAAATCAATATGTGGGCAGTGAGGAATCTAAATCCCAATGTTGTGTACTGTAGCAGAGATAGGTCCTGAATTTAATACGCAATCTATATCGGAAAGATTTGCAGGGTGATGCAATACTCATACGGATGAATCCGGATATGACAAAACGATTGGATATAGACGAAGTGGCTGGTCACCAGTCGGCGTGACACCAGTCCAAGTGTTGAGAGTACATCGGGGCCAACGCTTCCAGATACTGCCGTATGCAAGACGGTCTCATTCTGTCTTGTATTTGCTTGCAATAGTTCAACAAATGCCACGTTCTTCGAATCGTTTATCGAGCAGCTTCCCCAGCACCGTGGGAAGTGGCCAGAGCCAAAATCCGTGCTTATTATGGATACAGTAACGCATCTTTCTATCATTCACATGTAAGTAAAGGAAGCTATACAACCCAAAAGCTTTCCAAAACTTTCACAAGTTCGATTTCATAATAGCAATACGCCTTCTTTGAAGGGCTTATGTTATTGAATATGTCGCAACATCAAAATCAACCCAAACAAACCTCGTGCCAGATACAACAAGCATGTTCCTCTTAGACGTCATAATGGTGGAAAATGGCATTATGGATCTTTTCTATACCCTCAACAGCACGTGAGAAGGATCTTCAGACTAATTTCCGCAATTTAGTCTTTCAGCACAAGGCAAGTATTCGAGCAGGATTGCGCTGCATTGGTGTTCATCGTCGGCAATATGTTCAGGCAGGGGTGGAAAGCCGACGGATCAACTCGATCGATATGACCGTAAAAAGCGGGAACAGGCCTCGGTGGCACTCGACGAAGTAACGGGGATTGTAATAGGCGTTCAATTCGCAGCGAAGAAAATGTAGACCTCGGCCGCTTTTTATATACCTAGGGTCGCCGTTGTTGTGGAACTGATAGGTCAGTATCATCCTTGGACGCAATGATTGAAGCTTAAAAGCATCATGCCACATGCCAGCCGGATTTCATAGAGCTCGACAGATTAGAATGCCAACGTGGGGCTTTTTCTTGGCACTTACAAACAGTCGTGGACTTCTTATCGAGACCCGCCTGATATCTGATTCTGGATGACTGGACAGATGGTTTAAGCTCGAATTCTGGCTCCAAAACCAAAACATGCACTGGCTCTACCAGTCTCCGTTCTCCCGAGTTAGCTTACGTGTCTTCGGGTATTCCATCAATTTGACGAGCAAAAGCAGAGCGACACAAAGGCGGTGGAGGGATAGGTCAAGCTGATTGATCAGATTTTATCGGTCGGACTGGTATACGTGGACGAAGCGGTAATTATATTAGGCAGTTGGCGCAATGTTCTGGGTTTTATTAAATGAGCTCTCTTTGCGGGGTGGGAACAATATTAAGGGTAGTGTCGGGGGCTGATGGGTTGCCAGAAGATGCTGACAGAACGCCAATAGGAATCCAGGCATTGGTCAAAACAACTTTGTAACTGCCCTAATCAGCGTTGCTGTAACAAGAATGACGGCCAGATGGACTTACTCCGGGGAGTAACAGCCAAAAGTTGAACACAGAAGCTACAACGGGAATCAGGAAACTGCTCGAAGCTTGACTTTCGTACGCAACTGGAGACCAGGATTGTGTATTGCACTAGCCAACAATGTAACCAAGCGATACTTATCCAGTCGAAAGCTCGGCATACTGAATAGACCCAAAATGGCAGGAATCTAAATTTGTTACAGTTGAAGTACTAGTAAGTATAAAACAGAATATTTTCAGCTCGTGAGGTTGGAATGTGCGACGTCGTCGACGGCATAGACTTGAACAATCTGGACCCGGATCAGATCTGGTATGAAACCTCCTTTTTTTATCCCGGGGGGAAATAAAATGCCCGCCCCCCCCCCCCCCCCTGGACACAAACACGCCATTTGTACTGTAACAAGGAGATTACTGTGGAAATTGAAGGGGCAGCCAGTAGTAGGCCATAACGGAATGGACAGTGTGAGATTACGTCTTAGCACAAGATCAACTGAGCAAACAACAGGTGAAGAACATGCAGTGGAGAAGGTGTAAGGGTAAGGACCGGATCGTAAGTATTACCCCAAGCAGCGTCAAGTTGAACATGCTTGGAGTGTAAAATCCCCAAGAGTACTGCTTCGCGGCATCTAAGCATATTGCGAATGGAATACAAGCCAATAAAATGCGCCCCGCCCATATTGTGATATGTGATATGCGAACAAACTTTCCAGCTTTCCTTGCCTCCTAGGAACAAGTTGATTTGGATCGTCTGCTACTTCCCGCATTCAATGTCACGGACGCCATCTGCGTCTTGCCCCTGCGTGAATAGCACGTGCGGTATTTCCTTACAATACTTCTGAGACTCATCGATCAATTGAGAATTGTTGCACGATATCACCAAATGAAAACGCATGCATTCACAGTTCAACGGCATACTCCATTATGTTGAACATGCCACGGTTTATTCAGCGTCACCATCCGCAGACTACGACTGGTAATACTTACCTGCCTAGACTGATGAAGACTTTACACCGATATAAGACGACACCACCGCATTATGACTAAAGCTCCCAAGGTGAATGTTGCTTATCTAACCAAATCCGAGGAGCACATCTTCTTACTTACTCCCTCCTTGACATACAATGCAGAACTGTAAGCCTGTTTCAAACTTAACTTACATCTTCTCTTTTGCGTAGATCCACGTGCTGGACGTTACTGCGACTTCGCAGCCGAGGGCTACCATATTTGAACGATGGAAGAATACATCAGAAGATAGAAGTTATCCGATAAATTAAATACAGCCAGCCTAACCTGTAGTATTACAAAATGCAAGATTAAAAGTAGATCGGATTAACAAAATAATCTCTGGAAAGGTCTCTGGGCTCAGAATGAACGGCTTGCCGCGGTCTTCCCCCGGCTCCCCTTATAAAGAATGTTTGCTGCCCAGACTCGGATGGGAAGCAGATTCTCTTCACAATTGCTCGGTGACAATATCAGAAATACCTCTTTTCAATGGAGGGCCCCAATATCCTTACTCTGCGAGATTCCACTGTGATCGCTATTCTCGATATTTTTGGGATCTCTTACTTTTCTTTATTTACGCTTCAATGCCTACTCTTTCATTTCCCTACATGCTATGCAGACATCAGTAACTCGCTCGCGACACTTCTTTTCGGAGTTGGTGTCATCTCCTGGTGTGTCCTGAGTCTCACCTACCGCATCCTCCTCGTCCTTAGTAGCACCAATGCATACGATTGGGAGAAGCTGGAGTTCGGAGGCCTCCTGCTTTTGATTTATGCCACTACTATCTCCTACGTCGCTCTTCAGTTTTCCACTCGCCCCCTGGCGCAGCTCGGGTACATGTGCGCTATCTCTTTGCTTTTCGTGGGACATCTGGTCGAAGTACTGGTACAAACCTCGAGCACTCCCCTGACAAGTATCAAGTTTCAATATCACTGTGCCTCCCTGGCCTTGCTTACCCTGGTACCGATCATCCATAGCCTTGCAGAGTCACTGGGCCAGCCAGTGCCGCTTTCTTTAGAAGTTGCTCGAGTTGCCGTCTATAATGGTCTTGGGGCCATGCAGTATTTTGTCCGCCCCCTCGAAAGAATGGGCCTATTCCAGGGATGGCAGCCCAGTTTATACATCATGCATCTGGTTCTGGTTCATAGCGCTGTAATGCTATCGCCAAATATTATTCCTGCTGTGCACTAGCAGGCTACCTTCGGTTAGAGCCGCCATCTACCAGGAATTACTCATGTATTGAAAAGTCGCCATACATGTGCGCACACAGGCGGAAGCCGACAGGTCGAAGGCAACTCATAGTAGCTGTTGTCCGTTACAGTAGAACTACTCAATATTTATTTCAAGACAGGGAGCTCAAAGAGGGACATGACAAACGTTATATCTACCCAGCAAGAGAGGAGATCCAGAAGCCAGTCTTCTTAGCACAGGCTTCTCATCGGAAAAAGTAGATTAATTCCTCTGAAGCATCACTATTCATTTGTATTGTACTACTGTATAGCCAACGGGATAGACCTACGTCCATGGCCAGGAGAAGTCACATCTGTAAGCCTAATTTGCCCCTAAGATTTTCTTGGTCTGAGAGCTGTCAGTCACGTACGCCAAGCAAAGTTTAGTAAGATAATGACACAGTCGGTTAATCCCGCTTCGCGCCCGTTGGTTAGCCATCTGTGGGACTCCAGCTGCGTAGGCGTCAGCTTCGACGCCTGTTGGAGGCATACATCCATTAAAGAGCTCAGAAAGAGCGAGAGCTTCCGTAACAGTCGCTTCCAAGGTTACGGATGTGTGTTCATCTAAGGCAGTCTGGGCCTGGGATAACGCCGCTCGCAGGCCAGGATGCCAGCGATCTCTCAGGACAGCCTGGGCCTGGCCTTCGAGTTGATCGTCATTCAAGATCTTTTTCAATTTGACAAATTTGTAGACCATCAATGAGACACCAAACAGCACGAATGTCAATGCTATCACAATAATTGTCGTTAGAGCCATCACAGAGCAGGTTCCAGCCTGCGAAACCGAAACGTTGACTGCCGTTGTCAGCAACCCAGCAATAGCGTTAAGGCAAGCTGGCCTGTGATAGATTTTCTCAGTTCTGGAAACGAGCGTCTAATTGCGGGGAACTTACAGGAAAATTTTGTTGATGAGCCAGGGATAACAGGTGCTGAACTTGGCCCAGAGCCAGCCCAACATAGCACTCCCGGCAATGAGAAAGAGAAACGAGATAACAAGGAGGGGAGGGTTCTAGATCGTCTTCAACACCACTCGACCTACACCATTCGTTTGAAGCGCATCTTGGACTTCGCTGGACTTTTTCAATGAAGTGAACGTTCCGGGAATGATCACGTATCCCGCAAGCAACACCCAGTTGGCTGCATTGGCGCAAAGGTTGTATCTCCAATCCATCTGTGCTTCTTCTTTCAGCATCTTCGTATAGAGCGTATCGTTATCATATTCCAGAGTTTCCTTTTCCTTACTAAGGCGACGGTGTATAGTGCGTCCATGACGTGTTATTGCGTGCTACCCGCTGCGAGAGCGGATAGAGTCAACCATAATATAATGTGGTCTGTACTATAAAATTTCAAAATCGTCGGGTTTTAATACTACAGGCTCAGGGCTCCTCCAAAGCCACCATCAACAGTACGACGGGTGAATTTAGCATACGCATCATCGTAAATTGTTCAATCTGGCATTTTCAGAGATCGGAATCAAACAGCAATCGAAGCCTTTGCCCGGGAGTGGGGAAGAGACGACTAGTTAGCGGCTGTCTTCTAAACCGCAATCTATTATCGTAGTCCACCTAGTTCTGAGGTCCTAGAGGCAGGTTCAAAAGTGGGGGTAGATTTCTAGCGTCCATGACCAGCTAGAGCGCAAAAAAGATGCGGGGAGCTGACTGCCGTGGGGTGTTCTGGGGTATTCTTCACTGAGGGGCAACTCGGGCCAGATAATAGTCAGCTAAAATGTATTATAAAGCGAACCCAGTCTCATACCTTTGCTGTGGTCGTTCCGCCAAAGCTCCTTTCCTACCCTTGCTCCTTCAATAGCAGCCTAGCTTAACACCGCCCAGGGTAGCTCGGGTTGGACTCTGACGGATACTGGTCGGCTAGAAGCATTAGTTCACTGGATAAGCCATCCCGACACTCAGTATCCCGCCCTGATTTGTTTTACTAGGAACGGAAATCGAGTCAAGGCGCTTCGAGCCCTCTTCCCTCGCAATAATGTCACTCGCAGAGGCCCCGCCGCTCTCATGCGGCTGCACTTAAGCACGGAGAGTGCCGAAACGGTCCATCCAGTGCTCTTCGCAGAATACGGCATCTACAACAGTTCTGGCTTTGCAGACCCGGCACTGTATAGGACTTCCACTCAAAAATTGCGGCAATACGCAGTGTCACAACAGACTAGCCGTTCGGCGGCAGATGTGAATCTCCATGTGATGTCCCAGGTCGTCTTGCCCTAGACCCAGATCCTCTGCCTTTTTGTAGATAGCGTTTCAGAAATGCGAGACCTGTAGCGGCTGCTTGATCAGCCTCGTCACAAGACACACATAGGGTCACGTTCCGTCAACGTTCGCCTCAGAATTCTCATCGTTCTCACCAACCCCCAAGACTACGCCTCGCGGGAACTAGCTGCGATGGTACCGCAGGATCATTTCCGTGACGGGGTTGCTCCAGAAGTTACGTTTGTAGATCTACGGGATCGGTACGAATTGTCCCCCACGGCCGCCTTTAAGCCACTACGCGGCGTCATTCTTAACAAGCTGCAGTCAATCCGAACGGAACAGACGCAGCACGGCGTGCTGTTCTCTGCTGTGCATCTTTCCGCACTCTGGAAGAGTAATTTGGAATCTCAGATGCGAGGACTCGATCCTGCCGTTTTCGATTACCTCCGCGTAGCGCGAAATAATCATCCGTCCACACTAAGTAGGAAGGCATGTCTTGTGGACTTCTTGGGACAAGCTCAAAAAACCGGTTGCGAGGCTCAGGATATTAGTTCATTCGTGGCTTCGGCCATTCTGATGGACGCCTATCCACCAGGGGCGCATTGTGAGTTCGACTCCACCTCGCCCAATCCAACGCCTACACGTCTCTAGTGTTCCTGTCTTTCTTGGCTGATAGTCTCAGTGTTCAATCCTAGCTACGTTTTCGATAAACTATACAAAACTAATTGTACCGATGCGTGGACCATGCAGAATGTTGATGTGAGCCCCTCCGAGTTTTGCGATGGGGTACTAGCCCTCTTCACTGATCTTTTCAAATCAATGGATCCAGTGACTCCATCTACGGCTGTTCGACGCCGCAGCCTGAGCAGATTCCACCAACGGTGGGGAGATCTATGCTCCTCCACTAGTTGCTTCTTTTGCCTAAGCCGAGCGCCAGAACATATATTAGCTTGTCGGCATGCCATGTGCGACAACTGCGTGGTGATATTTAGGTCAAAAAGTTCGGTCGCGGAGTACTACCTAGAGGTCACACATTGTCCGATGTGCGGTGCCGAGGTCCGTCTAGCTATTCGACAGCTGCCGCCAACGAAAGGACCGAATATTTTGAGCCTCGACGGCGGTGGCATTCGGGGGATTAAGCAGCTTGGTTTGCTTCAGTCCTTAGAGAAGCGGCTTAGTGAAGTTCGTCTGACCGAGGTATTTGACTTATGCGTGGGCACCAGTGTGGGTATGTTTGAAGTTTCGAGTTGCGTAGCTGCAGCTGAGCCGGCCTAGGGTCGCGTTTTCTAACATCCTGCAGGGGCTTTGAATATCATGGACTTAGTCTTCAACCGTTCTTCCGCAGACAGCAGTTTTCGCCGCTTCCCAGATCTCGCACGAAAGATTTTCCAGCAGCCAGCAAAGCCGGTCAAGCTTCTCAAATGCCTAGCCTGGATTACAGGCGTGAAACGCCTCCTCCTGGACGGAAAATACGATGATCGTATGCTAGAGGAAACCCTGAAGGCGGCGTTAGGACCGGATCGCCGAATTTTTGATGTCGAAACGACATGCGGCATCAGCAGTCGGGTAGCGATCATTGCCAGCCGCATCTCGGACGGGAAAGCCTGCCTGCTAGCCAACTACCGCGGCATCGGTCGGCATGCTGGAATGTCAGCGTACGAATTTTTGATGCCTCAAAGTCAAGATCAAAATCCGCTGTTGTGGGAAGTGTACGTGATCACCTACCTTTCTGTGGCGAGACCACTGTCATGGACAGAATCAATCTGATCGTCTTCTAGTGCACGGTGCAGCGTGGCTGCTCCAGGGTAAGATCAGATCGGCTGGCGGCGAACGACGCTGACACTATTTAGGTTTTTCCGTACCAAGACGCTCCCTAGGTTCGGTCCGCTGCAAGACGGAGGGGTACGTGCAAACAACCCGCTGTCGATCGCCCTGAAAGAGTCCACTCTCATCTAGCCTGGTCGGAACAAGCTCGACCTGCTGGTTTCGGTGGGCACAGGGTACACAGCACCCGAACGGCAGCCCCGCCACCCGAGGCCAGGCGGAATCGTGCACGACGGTGCCATTACTCGCTTGATCCGAGCAACAGTGTCGTCCCCGTCCATGGACGGTGAGCAGGCCTTTCTTGAGGCGCTAAACTTTGTTTCCAGTCCCATACGAGCGGACATCTACCGGGTGAATCAACTGCTCCATAGACCGCTCCCGTGGTTGGACGACGTGGAAAAGTTGGACGGGCTGGCTGAGTCATCATTCAACGTGCCTGACGAGTTAGTCCGGGCGGTCTTGGTGACGGGGACGTTGTTCTTCGAACTCGACGGTTGTCCCACCACGAGGCAAGGGACGATCTTCTGCGAGGGTTCAATCCTCTGCACAAGCACACAGCCTAGGAAGTTGATTGGCCGGATTCTAGCTGAAATTCCGGGCGCAGAGTTCCAGATTGACCATCAAGGGCCCCTGGGTCTAGTTGGAGAGGACAATGGCTGCCGTCTTTGTGGATACTATCGCAAAAAGGTATCATTCACTGTCTGTAGCCTCGACGAAACTCTCACCATTCAAGTCGGCAATACTGAATCGCGGACGCGACTAGGAGGCTTTCCTAAATCCGTTCAAAATCTCTTAGACGAGCAGCAAGTGCAGAGTCCCTTTGGTCGTCCGGATCACCGGACTGATGCGTGGCCGCCAGCAAGGCGCTGCCTCTGTCGCCGCGGGACCAAGAGGCGAGTTGCATTCGCCGAACCTTCTCTCGGGCAAAAGAGGAGGCGTTTGTAAACCATTGTAGGGAACCATTTGAATTATCGTGCTAGGACAAGTCCTGACTCTCGAAAGCTGACCGAGATAAATAAACAGCAAAATTATGTATAGATCGGAACATTCTATAACATACATTATTAGATATACCAAGTTGTTCACTGGCCAACTTGAAACCTCATATCATCAAGAAGATAATATGGGCATCAGTACACCTCGAACGGAATGCTCCATCTTTGCACATCCTCAGTACAAATAGCAGTATCAAGCTATCGGCTTTGCACATCAACCGCTTTGTCGCCATGCGATGTAGTCAGAGCCTTCAATCCATATTTCTGCAGCTAGTGTGACGCATAAACAATAACGTTCAAGGCATTCTCGGTACGCTTCTCGGTTTATTTTGACCTAGATCAAGAGAGACCGCAAGTTTTTTCACTGTGTAAGCATAGCTGTCAGGATCGGTAGGTCTGATCGATGAGATTACTGTAGAAGCAATGAACAGGACGATCGTCTATTTGTTAATACCAATTACGCTCAAAGGAGTGGTCGTCACTCTTACGGATTGGATACTCTTAGATCTCGTCATATATAATTTTCAGTAGGAAGAGTCAGCACTGCAGATTCCTACGCTCACAAATTTCTGTCAGACATACCAGATCCCTTTGTATCAAAGGACGATACTTCCAGCGTGTATAGCCGGTCGCCGGAATCGCCGAAATTGTCCTCGTTGGAGGAAGTGCCACCTCCTTTCAGATTCAGCCTCCCTAAGATCAACACCCTTGATCACCAACTTACAATGTCTTCCGGAACAAGTATAGCCTTAGAAACTACACGATCTAGGCTACAGCGGTCCAAAAGCAAGCACAGAATGTCATTACCCGAACTTCGAGATAGTAAGCTCCGTCAGTGGGAGCAGCAAAAGCACGAAATCGAATTCTATGCTTCTTGCCGACAAAACCTTCTCGATCTGTTAAGAGCAGCGCTTGAGCTCGCCCAACAGCTCATATTGCAATATCACTTCGAGCCCGAGGTGAATCCAGTAGGCAACACCCGACTGCTGCAGGCAATCCAAGCTCTGAGGGCCTCGCTGGACGAATCTAAACGGCGAGAGGTAGAGGCAGAACAAATTTGGAAGCGAGAGTGGAGGGTTATCCGTATCCAGCGGTCTCGAAATTCATGGATCTAGCTTTATATCATAATAGTACACACAATCAGGAAGTTGAAATAGTCCGTCACCGGTCGACGTTTGCTTTCCATGGAAGATTCCTTCCTAACACCACCGGTACAGCGTAACTATGCCTCATTCTGTAGCATATTTTGCCTTCCAACAACTCATCAAGGGATAGTAAAGTTTGTGTGCAACAAAAACACTATAATCTGGAAGCCAATCACCCAGAAGCTGCCTCTCCATCTATGGACTCTTCCTTAACTACGTCCTGTGTTCCGTGGATTACTTTAAGGAGGGGTGTCTTATGAATAGTCAATGGCGCTTGGAGATGTTGACAACAATTACCCAAATGTCAATCTCTCCACCGCATTTAATTGGCTCCATATGCAGCTGGTCTCCTGTATGAGGCTTTGCCGCCCGTGAATCTGGTGCATTCAGCACGACATGCCTCTTTTGTACTTTACTGCTATCCGATTTCAGCGGTGAATGCACTTTGCATTCTCCACCGGTAGAAAATTCTCACGACTTGGTGTCATCATCACGCTTGACCTCGACTCGAAATTAACGAGGACAAGGACTCTGTATAACAATATCAACATCCCTCCTCTTCCGGCAATACGTCCAGGCGACCACACTATGGCCCCAGTCGCTGTCAAGCTCTCTCACTGGCTCTCGGGGGTCTCTCTTCCAGGGAAGTATGGTCTCTGTGCTGCTTTGATCCTTTTAGCATGCGTTTCTTATCACATTGGACGCGATTGTCTGGCTTGGTCCCTAAAGCTGCAACGGGCCGTCTCCTGGAGGCGGTTTCTTCAGTCTCCGGTACCAAGCATCCTATACTATCTAGATATCTTGTCGTATATCAAGTGTCTTTTACTGGTCGCCCTCTTGACATCGAATGTCGTCGTTCTGGTCTTCGCGGCTCAATCTTTTACTGAAGTGCAGAGACGGGCTGGCTCAATGGCCGTCATCTACCTGTTCCCACTATTTGCCAGCCCCACATTCAGCCAGACATCCAGCCTCTGTCGCTTGAGCCGAGATACCCTAGCGTGGGCCCACCGCTGGGTGGGTCGAGTATGTCTAATTCATTGCGTCCTCCACGGCACCATAATATTGGAACTTACCCGCCAGTATGCACCATTATCCGGTCCTCTTGTAGCCGCATTTAGGGTAAGTCTAGGAATCCCATTATCCGTCGTTTTTCGCGGGAATTCACGTTCCGGAAGCTCATGGAGTATAGGCAGCCGTCAGCTTCCTCGCGATGCTTCCAGTTACACTTGCCGTAATACTCCGGCGCCATCCGCAGCTAATGCTCAAACTTCACTATCTGCTAGCCGTCTCTGGTGCGGCTTTCCTCGCATACCATCTGCGAATCACTCGCTCAGTCTACTTCTGGGTGCTGGTCGGCGGTGTCAGCCTGTGGGCCGTGTTATGTGTGGCTTTGTGGGCACAAACGATGTGCGCGCTTCGCTCATGGAGAGATATCCGGCTCCAGGCTGAGGCCAAAGCATCCAAACAACTCCTCTGGGTGGAGATCTCGGTGCCTCTACAGTGGAATATCCAGGCCGGTCAGCATATTCAGCTGTGGATGCCGTGCTCGGGGTACCGCTCTTACTTTCACCTGCCGCTTTTCTATGTGGCGAATGTAGGAGAACAGCAACCGCAAAAGGGCAGATCCACCTACCGCCGACTGCACTGTCTCGTGCGGTACCGACATGGCCTCACCAAGAGACTAGCTGTGGATGCGATAAAAGCTAATTGTAGCTTCCCAGTCTTCATATTCGGACCATTTGGGCACCCGCCTTGCTTTGGAGATTATGGTACCGTGCTATTCGTGGTTGAAGACATAGGCCTGTTTCGAATCCTTCCCTTCATTCAACAGCTAGTCCAGGGCAGTCGCAGGAGGGAGACGGTGGTACGGAAGCTGGAAATTCTTTGGGCGGTAGATTGGAGCAGTATCCTCGAGCTGGAGCTTCTTGTCGAGCCCAGAGGGGCCGACGCATCTATTTCGGCTAATCACGTCCCAGAGATCGAGCGGTCGAGATATAAGTTGTGGATCTGGAATAGCGTCCAGCGTCTTTTTGAACTCGACCGACAGCGGAATCACGCTTTAGACTCTGGCGATACGCAAGCCGCAATGAGTTCAGCAAGCAGGCTGGGTAAGACCGGCGGGTTTGATGTAAGTGTATGTAGCTTTAGGTAAGTCGTGCTACTAACAGTTCGCAGATTCTGCAAATGAGAATCTACTGTCCAGATGCCCCCCCGGAGTCCCACACGCGATTTCCACAAACAACGCGCATCCAGTCTCTATTTGAAGACTTCATCGCAGGAAGGGAGGTCCAGGAGTATATTGAAAGCCAGTGCGGGAAAATGATAGTCGCTGGTGGGTAGCACGGATGTCACCGCTAGTGATATCGACACAACCCCGTCCAACGCGTTATTTACCTTCAGTCACTAATGTTTTGCAGTATGTGCGGGTAAATTGATCCGGAGGGAGGTGGAACATACGGCACGACCCAACATTAGCGAAGATCTGCGCTTAGTCAACCTGAGCCTAGAGCCAGCTGCCGAGTGGACGGGCGATAAGATCCTAAGCATGCCGCAACAAATCACCGAGGCTCACTACAGCGTATCTTCCACCTCGCGGTCGCCAGGTAATATAACACGTTTCGATTGTATCACTTCTCTGCTTCGCCGTCCACAGCTAATACTGTATCTACCTACCTATGGCTAGAGGAGTCATCTGGTATGAACAGAGACTTCCCTTCAGTGACGAAGAACGGCGCTTCTGATCATAATAATTTTGTCAGGCAGAGAATAGCTAAGGGAAGGAGAGTCCGATGAGAATCGATGAGACAGGTCCGAGAGCTTGGCTTGCGCGTGTTTACGTGATGATCTTCGGTGTTAGGTGAGGTGGTGCCGAGCACAATTATATATTTACTCTGAATGTGAAATATTTCCGTAGAATGGAAATAACTGACTCGACGCGAACGACGCTTTAATTAATTTAAGAGTCCAGAATATACACTGCCACATTCTTCTTGAAGCCCACCCTCCCAATCTACCATGGCTTGTTGAGACTACTGTATCGTTGATATTTCGCAATGGAATGGATGACTAGGTCTGATTAGGGGCCCGCTAGGGCTCAAAAGGGGTTCAACCGTGCAGCATTACACGTGACCAGTGAGTGGTAAGGCCTTCAAGCGGCAGCCACAATCCCTGATACCATTTCCACCATGTACAGTGACTACGCAAAAGTTTGGACACCCCTAGGACCCACACCCCCTAGATTATATAATATACTGCCGGTCGCAAAACCTCTAGATAATCGATTTCTACCACAAGACTAGATAACACACGCCTAATATGGCGTATACCACCCTTCTGATTCGATAATTGCTTGCACCCTATTAGGCATAGTCTCAGAGAGGTGTTCTAGATGCTTAATATCGATATTTTGCCATGCAAGCTGCGCAGTGTCCACTAAAATCCGCTTAGTCTCATCGTTTGTTCTTCATATCCATAAGATCAGGTCGAATCTTATAGATTTCTGCTTTAAGAAGGGCCCATAGGTTCTCAATTGGATTAAGATCAGGCGAGCAAGGTGGCCAAACCATCACCTCGATCTCCATTTCAGCTAATGCATCGCGTATAACGTATGCGGTGTGTGTAGGTGCGTTATCATGCATAAAAATCCCATCCTTAGCAGATAATAAGGTCGGTAAGACTCGACGATATAATTCTTTAATCATAAATCGGTTAACACCGCCACGCTCGGAAGTAGGATCTCCGAATAGTAGATTGGATGACCAAGTGCAGTGAGTCACATCTCCAAGCTACTTCCGACACGAAGTCTACAAGGTGTTCTGACAACAGGTGTCTAGGGCGATGGACGAGCAGATCAAGCAGCAGGATGTCTGGAACAACCACATGCAACAACAGATGGAGACCATTATGGAGCGCTGCCAGAGACTAGATGCCCTAGAAGAAAAAGTGGCGGGGCTGCAAGCAAAGCTGGATGTTGTGTGCGGCAACAAGGAAGGGGCAAATGAAGGACGTAGATCAGGTGGCCGCAGACGCCAGGCACCGTGAAGCCTGCACCATATCCCCTCAATCTCATGACGTGATTCAAATTATCCGTTCCATACTTCTAGTGGCTGTACACTATCCGTAAAGCTACTAACAGCATATCAGTGCTCCTCCAGTAAGGAGTTAAGAGTGGAAATGTGGCGGGTGATTACCCGTAAACATAATCGCCAAGCGATCTGCTGCGATCCGCAGCAGTCTCATGCTAGGCACAATCCTATCCTATGAGGAGCACGTGTACGGAGGCCACAGCATAAAGATGGTACTTTGTTACTCCCGTGACCGATAGTCAGGGGTGCTACCTCTAACACGGTATTTGGGGTTATCATGTGACGTCATGAATAATGTGTATCTAAACACGGCCAATGGGTTTTCTATTAGCGCGAGATCCTCAATTATACCCATGTACTGTAATAGAAAAGCATATCGACGGCAAAGTAGGCTCGCGGCAAATTTTTGGGCAGACATCCCTGTCTCCCTCGTCCATCCTGCCCCGTTCCGTGATCAAGAGTTGTTCGCGATCCGGGGCTCGGCAATGCTCGTCTGAAATTACCCCTATGGATATATATTTGAATGTGCTCGGGTTAGAGCGATCACTGGGCAGAGACTGGCAACAAGCGAATAATTTGGGGGGGGGGGGGAGGGGGGGAAGGATACACTACCACGATCCAAAGAACGATGAAAATATTAAGTGTGTGGCATTGTATCAACGGTGAACTCTTGACAGGCTATAGTCGCACAACTGTCTCGGAACATCCTTCGAGCACAATTAACGTGGAATCGTAGCGCGTCTAGTTAATCCAGGCTAGTTGATGCTTTAGAAGGCGAATTCTGATATAGGGGTCGAAAATGAAGATTGCATTCGTTTCAACTCGTCACCATTGTGTGTTGTAAAATGAGACAGATAACAAAGGCATTTAGGCCACCGTGCCTGATATCACTCCATCATAGGGATGTGGAAATTTGAAACGGGTCACAAAGTTGATGAATTCCAGGGCATCCTCTTCAGCCTCCTTCAAACCGGAGAATAACGCCTTGGCTCTTCCTTTGCTGTCCCACATCTAGAGGACACTAGCTCTATCCAGGTGGCGAAAAGTCATATTCCAAGAACTCTTATAAAGATCACTCTCAACTTCTTTGAATTCCCCAGCGAGAATATTGAGGCGGTACAAGAGGAGAGCAGAAGAGATATGATTTAAAAATCCATGCTGACGAATAGATCTTTCAATGTCATCTATCGATAAGAATTTCGGCTAAGGGTCTTGAGTTTGCTCGAATTCAAATCGCGAATCAACAGGATTCCATCGAAGATAGTCATCGTACCAGTGAGTTGTTTCCCTTATGTTTCGGAGTGCGTGTCTTGCTTTAGGCTCAGGAAGTGGTGCCTTAGATAAGCGCCATTTCCGCTTGATGAGTTCTTGCAGAGAATACGCCGCCTCTCGCTCAACGGCAGTTAGGCGATTATTGGCTTCATAATGTTCGAAAACCATCTTGTCAATACGGGGGCATGAGGTCTCAAAGTCCTTCCAGGTGCGAGAAACTCCAGCCATTTTATTGAAGTATTCTTCTTGGTCGGAATCTCCGAGACACTTGAAATTTCCGTAAGAGAGCAGTGGATGTTCCATAGGCTCTGAATCAAGACGGTAAAATTGATGACTTCTCTTCGAGTTCGATCCTAAAACTCTCGCTATGTTAGTTTAACTACTATGAAAACACACCGATTGATAGCGAAGTTAACCTGATTCAACGCCGTTCGTCTCAATTTTCCTCTTTGCCAGCTAACCACACGTCATTTCTGGGTTTTGAAAAAGGCGGGTACAGTCGAAGCTCCGGCAGCCGGGATAATTTGCAAACGTTGAATCACGAGTAGATTCCTTGGGCATTAGGCTGTTTGGTATAATAGGGAGATTCTCCACATTCGCTCCGTTCCAGAACTCAGTTGAGCTCATCAGAATGGTGTCTGCATCCGAATCATTTTTATCCACCATGCTAGAATCGTGACCTTCGTTGCCACTAATACTCGAAGTTTGAGGGTTATCTGAACCTAACGGCTGATGATCAGCCATTATAAGCTGAATTTTCAGAGAACTGTGTCGTCTTAGTGGCTAATACTTAGTAATATAAACCTAAAAGGGGATTGGGAAACTGACACCTGTTTGACTGAATTAAGTTTTATAGTACCTGGAAATTAATGCATATACACCGGAATATCAGGAAGGGACCTAGCTATTTATATCTTGGTTAATTACATTTGTCTTAGTGCAAGGCAGCTGACAGATGATTATAGCGATGTGAGAATGTACGCTCCCAGGAGCCCTAACTAGATTGGAATAATCTTGACTTCCTGGGAGCTATAATAAGTAACTTTGAAAGGTCTATATACACGGTGAATAGGGGACATATAGTGTAAAGGACAACATTGCTTACCTAGCTTAGCCAGCTCTCTTGGGCACTAGAATGTCCATTCCTACGCTTGGGAACGACTAAGCTAGCATAATAATGAGGCTAACACGACTCTAGGGTAATCCGGTTTTGAGTAGTAAGGCTAACACATCTTATATCTTTTACTATATCTATTTAATTTTACACAGATAACCAGGCTTTTCTGAAGCAAAGAAACTATAAAATTGCCGTTTAAACGGCGATTAGAGGCCCTCTAATGGTTGTTAATAGCCACGACGAACATATAGTGTGGTCTAAGGGTAATTATGGGTGCAGAGGTTTATTCGGCACCTTTCGCTAGTCTCGATAGAAAAATTGTTCAAGTACGTTTGATTATGCTTTTTGTTATGATCGCCAAGAATTTAGTATTGGCCAGGCTTCACTGTAAGTGCGTGAAATGCATGGACGGGCGGTAACTAGCATATGTAAACGTCTTTCCATCCGAAGAACTATCAGCGAGAGAAATATGATTTAATTACGTAGTATTACACTCACTTTCACTATGCGATAAGTTCATTGTTTGAAGGGCATTGGTGTACGGAGCCTTATTTAGATCTATGTTCATTGAGTCAAGGCAGCATTGGTCAGACTTAAGCTCCCAGGAGCCTATGATAAGATCTCGCCCAAACAGACAGAGTATTTGATTCAGCTATCTTAAAGATGTAAAATAGTGACGCTCCTAGGAGCAAGTGTTTGGTCATGCGAATAGCAGGTCTTCCTCCCGTATTGCTACCTAATCTGGCGAGAATAGTCTAGCATCAAAGCCCCGAAAGAGTGTTCATCTTAGTAGTAGGTGATCACAGAAGGGTATCTGAATTTTTTTAGAGAGATCTGGAAGTATCTAATCAAAATCAAAGAAAACGCGAAGTTCGTCTAGAAAATCCAAATTTGCCTCTAGAGCTCCCCAGATGTGGCCAAGTATCGGGCACGGGAAAATGCTCCTAGGAGCATTAGATCTACAATAATCGTGATCAGCCAATTGAACAATTTCCACTAAACACATCCTGGTTACAATAGCAAGGATCGCCAAGGAAGTGGCAAATGTACCATGCCCCGCTCTTTTGACTGAAAGGGAAATCTGTACAAGGGGTCGGGCTAGCTTGTTGCGTTTTATTGAGCCTGCTTACTCAGATCACCTCTTGGGAGGAGATTAGTAAGCGAATTGCTCAGGTCAGGCTCAGTGATCAGATCAGGGAGGCTGTGGCCAGGCTCAGTGAGCAAATCAGGACGCTCGGATCAGGCTCAGTGAGCAGGTCACCTTGATTACGTAACGATCACTGAGCAGCTCCGACTGATCAGGGGCGTGCTCAATTCTACTCAGTGAGCAAAAGCGGCGAGGGGGTGAGCACTAGAACGGAAGGAGAGCGCCAAGAGTTGGCGGACATTATCCGGTATATATGTAAATACACACACAGGACAAAGTCCGCCATGAGGACACAGTGTCCTTGATCACCCCGAGTGAT